GCATGATACTTTAAAAGTAGAAATTTTAGCTTTTTGTTCTTACATCTTCTGCAGACCTGTTATTCTGAGGTGTTGAAGTCACATTTTTTTGGAAGACTGACACAGCTGAGTATTGTATATTTGCCATATGTGACTGGACATTGATGTGGATGGTTAGTGCTACTTTTCCATAGGGAAAAGAGTACAATCAGCCTTGGGAACTTGTACCACAGTAATCCATTGCTTTGATACCAGCTGATTTTTGTTTTCTGTCTTTGACGTTGGGGCATGGGAAGAAGTTTTGTACTGTGAAAGTGTGAAGTCAGAATTGCAGTGTCTGTGCAGTGTTACAGTGGCAATGAATGACGCTGATGGAGGCTCACACACAAGTGGTGAGACTACTCACTCAGGGATGAAAATTCTGTGTTTGGGCAATCTCTAGGCATGGCAGAAAGCAGGTCTGTCCCAAATAGCTTGTTGATTTGGGATGTATACTGAGAAGATACTGTCCTTGGGTGATAGGTGAGATGAGGGCTGAGATGTGTTTAAACTTGTTAAGTTTTTGGGGGTTTTGGGAGGATTTGTTTCTTAGTAATTATCATTTGCTCAATGCTCAGGCATCTCTTGGACATTTCACAGATGAAACATTGCAAATGCCGCACAAACCTAAGCAAGAGGCAGCATGAGCAACTTCCTCTACATTAGATAAAATAAGTGATTCCTAGGAAGTCAGGGATGGGCCTTATATGTTGTTCCTATGGGGAATGATTCCTCATACTTCTGGGTAACAGTGTAAGGCTCTGCATGCTCTTGTTCTACGTGTACTACTGCAGTGCTACTTGGTGGATGTTAAACCTGCTTTATGCAGAAATCATTGTTCTGAGACTTGACAATAGTGTGTTTCATAATTATAGTGCAAGTTGTAGGTCACTGAAACGTTAAGAGTGTGCATTTAATGAAGTGTACTCTTCAAAAAAACCACTCTAGGCATTTTACATTTTGTAAAGGAACAGGAAAATAAAACAAGAAAAAACAAAAGCCCAGTAAAATACCCAGGGAGAGTGAACAAAAAAAATATGTTCTCTAATTTAAAGTGATCTGGAGTCTTCTCGAGTTCATGAACCAGCACCGCCGTTTGATGTCAGCAGAACTGAGCGGAAGTGTGTGGTTTGTGAACTCGCTGCTGCCGTGGAGTCACAACTCCTCGCTGGCTGTGGATGGGCTCTGCAGGGCAGACCACAGTGCAAAGCCACTGATTGTTTGGCCCCAGGATTAAGACCCTGCCTCAAATGGAAATGTCAGCTCCTTTACCCAGTGCCATGCTGTACGTTCTACAGCGTTCCACGTCTCGGATGGAGACAGACCACAATTAACGCAGAAGGGGGCAAGAATGTCTCCTGCCTGCTTGGCCAGATAGCCTCCATCATAGGAGGGAGGAAGAGAAAAAGCAAGCCGTGTTCTTGGACAGAGAAGCAAGCTGCTGCTGGAAAAGAAAAAAAAAAATAACATTATTGCCTCATGTTCCTTTAGCATGTGACCAGTTACGGCAATTGCTGATTGTCTACATACCAGGAAAAAAAATGCCCTGTAGTATAAAAAGTTCTCTACTTCAGGTCATGACAAAGGTCTAAAGGCATTTATTAAGGAAGTCAATCCAACTTTTAAATAATACTTTGCTGAGCAAGAAAAAATCAGAGAGAACAAGGGATTGTTTCAGAGGGGTTTATAATCTGTACTGAGCTTTATTTTTTTTGCCATCATCTTTGGATTAGCTGAATCAGATGATGTCTCTCATTCTTTGAAATCTAGCTTTTAAGCTATTGTGAAGCAGATAGAAAAGAAGCAATATAAGAGAGATGTCACAGAAGACTTGCAATACCCTTTTAACAGTTTATGTCTAAGGGGATGCTGCAGAGTGTATTCTGTATTCTAGAGTAAGGCTGCTTTTGGGTATAGAGAATCTACAGCTGGAGGAGATGCTTAAAGCTGAGGTGATCAGTTATGGTGTCTCAGGCACAGGGGCAACGCATGGGGGGATTGCTTGGGGAAGTGATTTTTCTTTTCCCAACTCTTCCAGCATGATAGGTTTTCTTTGTCCCATTCTGTACCTTTCAAACAGACAAAAATATTTAAGGTATGCATCTGTCTCTAACATGATTGCCTTTGTTGCAAAGAGAACAGTATGAACAATATACAGTGGCAATGCTGAGATTTTTGCCATGATGACAGTCAAAGTTCCCCTTCCACAGAGCTTGCTTTTGCTGAGCATACTAGAAAGAATTTCTGGAAAAAGAGTTTTCATTCAATTAATTTATACTATTTTAATAATTCTATTCTCATATTGAAGAATATATATAAAGCTTGGTCATAATGCAAATAAGCAATACAATTATTCTATATATTGTATGCAAAATAAAAATAATTTAACGTTTACTATATGTACATAAATGATAAAATATTTCCATTTAGCCATCTACCTGTACACAAAATAGTGAGGTTATTATAAACTTTTTTCTTATTTCTTTCATTTCCATTGGGATTTATTTCTATTTATTCCTGGTTCTTTTCACTGTGAAGTATCTGCCCATTGAAAAATTGGGAAGGTTTAAGTAGATGAGAGTATTCCTTTGATGTAGCTGAAGAATAACTGCTAAGTCTGTGCACATTTATGCAGGTCTAAAACAAACAATTTCTTCAGGGTAGTGTTTTTAGTGAATTGCATTTAAGAAATGAGAGGTTTCTCCTGAAAGCATATATATATATCACCCCATTTTTGCTTTGTGGAAATACCAAGTAGCCATTAGTTATGCATTACCTGTGTAAAGATAATAATGAGTACTTCTCTAGGAAAGCTTGGTGATTATAAAAGTACCCAAGACATGGAATGCATAAGCGTAGCAAAACCAAGGTACACGTCATTTGGGTACTGGTAAAACCTACCTGCCTTTAAAAAACCCAAAAAACCTGATCACATATCTGCTCAGGAAAATAAAAATAAAACCATAAACCTCAAAGTTTCTGCAAATGATTTGTTACTAACGTCAGTGGTTTTTTTTAGAGAATGAGATGTTTTAGATCAAGCAAACATTCTTCTGACATTAGTGATGTAATGGTCTCGTGTTCAGAAAGATTTCCTGTTTACTTTGGGTCTGAACACAGACATCTCAAGAAAGAAGGTGCTAAAATTTTCATTACACATCTGCATATAAAGACAGCTCAAACTGTTCTGAGATCTGTAGTAAATTTTATATACATTTCTGTTCTCTGGAGCAAAGTGGGTAAGTAACAGTTGAAAAATCTCATCAAATCAGAGAATCTCAGTTTGATGACCAAGCTAATTCCTCAGTTTTAAACCTGTAATGCAGAAAATTATCAGGCAAAGTCAGTTTGGCAGGCTTGTGAGCTATTTTCATGCTCTAAATGGGGAGCTTTGTTAGCAAATTCATGTGAAGTCAAGGGACTAGGTGTCCCTTGGAGATGAATTGCTGCTCCTCTAAATTTGGGGAGTTCACAGACGGCGGTAACGCTTCTTTGTGGTGAAGTTCAGGACTTAGTTTTATGCTGTAACTTTTCATGAATTTTCTGTTTCAAATCATAACTTCTGTGAGAGTTCACAGTAGAAGCAATGCATCTTGTTCATAAATTATATATAAATATATAATTTTCTCCTAAAAGATAGATATCATCTGGCTGTTGCTTTATTTTCCTAATTATAAAATAACATGGATTATACTTAAAACTTGCTGCAACTCTTCCTATGCCTTTGAAAATATGAATACATCAATCTCCCTTTAGCTATCCGCTCTCTAAAGAATTAAGTAGTCTGTTGCAAAACAGATCATGGTGAAGATCTTGTATGGAGTGAGATCAGAAATAAATATTTTTGAGTGTTTCATTGTTTCATTTTGCTTTTTAACTCTGTATAGTTACATTTTGAGAAACAATGCCACGGATGTCGAAACTTGCTTCATCTCCATAATGTAACTGCTGAGCAATCTAGAGACTGAACTCAGGTCAGCACAGCTTTGCTGCCAAGGCAGGATGCCTTGTTTGATGCCTAAGTGATAAAAATCTAATAGCAGAAAAACACAAACTGTGGTAAAGTCACCAAGTGGATTTTGGTCTGTTGTGATGGTCTGTAGGAAATGAGATTACTGGTTGGGTTTGTTGGCTGACTGAATCAGATGTACCTCCTGTGAGTATAAAAAGTGTACTTCCGAATGTGCAATTTTCTTATACCAGCATAAGAAAAGCCCAACATGAGCACATGCGTTGGCATGAAATTATTGTGTGTTTAGAGATTCTGCAAACATTCCCTTAATCTGATGGGTAAGAAATTGCTGCTTGTGGAGCTGTTTGGGTATTTATATTAGCACTAGGAACCAAAACTGGATCTAGGAGAGCACATTTATGACAGTGACAAACACACAGGCAAGATAATATACAGCAAATTGTAAGAAAAACGTGGGATTTTGCTTTTAGAAAAATACAGGAGGAAGGAGCAGCTTCTGTCAGCTGCTTGAGAATGGATTTGGGTTGGTGGAAAGTACTCACCAGAGGGAAATGTCCTGCAAGAGTCAGGCTGGGTCCAGTGGACCAGTGGTCTGAATTAAGATGGAGTAGGTTTAATAATCTTTCAGTCATGGCTTTTACCTCACTAACTGTTTGCAGAGGATCCTGACGCTCTCAGTTCTGTGCTGACAGACACCAAGGAGCATTTGTGTGAAGCCAGATGGGGCTCATGGGGCTTGGCAGGTCAGCTGTTTTCCAGGTGTTACTTGTCCCTGGATGCAGTGGATCTCCAGTCGCCCAGGGCTATACCTGAACTAAAACGGCTGATCCAAGATGTCTCTGTCTGTGGGGTGGGTAATTTGTAATTTGGATAACACATCTCTGAAGTGTTTTAGTGGTAACTGTAGAAAAAAGGGGAGAGAAATGCAATGCAAGACACATTTTAAAGTAGTGCTTATCAGTAGTTTAGGTTGTAATGGATTTGATGCCACTTAAATTGTTTTTTCCAGGCAAAAACTGCTTCTCCAAAATGGAGATGTTCCTGTTATCATGAACACCTACTTTAGTCAGAAGGTGCTACTCAGTGAACATTCAGAAGCCAGAGAGAAGACATATGGTCTTACAAAGATGCTTATCCGGAAGAATATTATATCTTTGGCACAGACGTTCGGACTCGATGACCTTGATGATAAGTTACACCAGGAATCTTCAGACAGTCAGGTATGGTCCATTTGGTTCACAATAAAGCACTTGGTAAGAAATTGATGAGCTGATGTTTGGAAATCGTAATAAAAAAATTCTAAATTACTGACCTGTTTGGTTTCCCCTTTCATTTAGTCAAGGCTGAATAATATGCAGTGTTTACTTTAATAATATTTTCTTAGTGGAAGCTTTTGGTCCATCCAAATGCTGAACTCCCGTGAGGTTACTTTGCTGAAATCTCACTACTGTGCTAAATAGAAATTATAACTTGGTTTTTCATTGATTTTTCTCTTATTCTTTATAGCTGAATAGCTAAAAGATAGCTGTTTTATTCTAATTTGCTCAAGATACTATTTAAAACATTTCTTTTTCCTGTTCCTATGTCTTAACTCATTTGCTTTTTGATCCTATCCTTTCTTAAAAGCATCAGTTGATAACATCATCCCACATTCCCACCCCTTCAGTTTGTTTTCCTCCCTATTTTGACTTTATTTGTATTAAAATGCCTACTGACTCTGCACTTCTGTAGCTGTGGTTGTACAAGCTGAGGTATTTGAAGAGATTTGTTTTCTTCATAGTGTGTGCCAGCACTTTCTGAAAGTAAGGCTCTTGTAAAAGCTTTATATTGGCTACCTTAATGATTCTTAATATCTGAGAAGTATAGTTCTTCAAGTTTGAAGAACTATAAGTTTCAACATTTGGCCTTATATGTAACTCCCATTATAGGCCTGGGAATTAAAAAGTTACATAAATCAAATCCTAATTGCCTTTCTTGCTTCAACTCTAACTTGTAAAAAACTTCTGCTGTGGTATTTGAAAACCAGGACAATTTACTTGTTCCCCTCATGGCTCCTAACAAACAAACCACTTTGTTTAAAACTTGGTAGGTAAGTTTTATTGCAACCACTTTGTAGACAGAGGGTACCACAATTTTCTTTAAAATACTGAAAATTCTCCTTCTTTATTGGTGTATAATACTTACGGTACTGTCAGTAATACTCTGAAAACTTTTCTTAGCACCCAGCATTTTATAAAACTAGGTTTCATTGTGAAAATAGAAATTTAGCTTGTGCTGCAAAGGGACATATATACATTGACCACGTCTATGCTTGCATACAATCTTTATCAAGAGATAAAGATTTATCAAGAGATAAAGAGATTATTTAAATATTAAGATAAATTACGTTACTCATTTAAGTTAAGGAAAACTGTAGTATTCATGAAATTTATTTTGACAGTTTGGAAGGTTTTATTAATGAAATGTATTTTGAAAGTAGTGAAAAAATAAAGGTTTTGCTTTAAAAGTTTTGTATTTTTCATTAATCATCTAATTCTTTTACATTGAAATATTTTCCACTGAATTGTGTAAGTCTGAGGACTAGGTTACTAGTCTATAAAACTAGACACCTGTTCATTTACAACTTTATTTGAAAGTCCAGAAGCATCCAAGATGAATTTCACTCTTTTTTTTTAGAAGAGGAAGGGACAGGACATCAAAGCAGTAAAAATAAAACTCCATTCAAGGGGAAGAATCATAAGGGCTAATATCAGTTCTGTTTTCCTGCTGGGGTCACCTTCATCTCTTGGGTGTTGAGTTAGCTCGGTCCAGAGCACCAGTTAAATACAGGAGCACACCGTGTGTGCAACTCTCTTTAGTGTTCATTGAAAATACACAATAAATAACTGGCCACTAGTCTGTAAGTTATTTTAGGAGCAGTAAGTATTTTGAAACTGATTTTGCACTTGCAACTTGATTGGCATTTTCCTCTCTAGCTCCACATAATTTCAAGGTTCTCTGGAATGTTTCTCTTATTGGGTTTTCCTTCACCAGGTTCCCTGCGCTCCACAAACCCATAACAACAGTGACTCAAAACTGCATCTCTTAGCACAGTGTGCTGTCAATGATTCTCTGCTTGAAATGGTGGAAAGCCAGGGAGCAGTGGGATGGAGAGAAGTGCAGGTACGAGTTGTTATCCAAAGGGTGTACTGTTTGCCTGCAAGAGAAGGGTACAGAAGTCACACTCAAGGAAACAAGCCTCTTTGTGCAACACCCATCATGAATTCAGATCCACCAAACGTGAGGTGAGTAATAAGATTCATGGGAATTTTGTTTTTGAGGCTGTGATGTATGAGAAACCAAAGAGGAATGAGTTCAGAAATGTCATTCTCGAAAGAAGCAGCACACTCCACAAGGAAGGCATGGGGCTGTTGATGGGTGTGGTGTAGTTCTTTAATTAGGTATGGTGTGACACAGAAGTAGTCCTCCCCAGAGAAGGAAGGATCTGTCTATAGTTTATGTCATCAACAGATGACAGGAACATTGAAAATGAATTAATGAGAAGTTAATTGAGAACATCATATATTGTTCTTTGAGTTTAACAGAATAGTTGTTGCATCCCATTTGCCTAGTTCAGTCTCTGAAATGCTCTGCTAGTAAGTTATGCTCGTGCAATGGTCTTTTGAAACAAGAAAGAAATATATAGAGAGACAGAACTGAACGGCTTTTCTATAATGAGGATTTTGCACAGATGCTATTAGAAAAACATAGGTGTATGCTTCCACTGTGAAGTCACTGGAAAAAGATCCTGTTGACTTCTGAAAATCTGGAGGCCACCGCAGTTAAGATTCCTCTGCAGTAAAAAGTGTTGTGGTGTCAAAACATAACCAGCAGTGCAGAAGCATTACACGCAAACCCCATGGAGCACACAGCTTTCAACCAGTTGTTTTAACCTCTTATGTTTTATTCTTTGGATCCTAGCATTGTTCTGTTTACAGTGAAGGGAATCAAGAACTGGACCTTGTTTTCTTAAATACAAAAGATATGGCAAACAGTTTTCCTTTCTGACCAGTACTGAACCATTGAATTCTTTCCTTCTCCTTTTATGTTCCTCAAGGTTTGAGACCACAGACTGATTTCAGTCTTTCTCAGCAACCCTGGGTCTGAGATATGTCTGTTATTGCATTTTCTTCCTTTGGTTTTGCACTAACTTTTGGTTCATGCTGGTTTAAAATTTTGAAAGGTAAGATGTATCAGATTTTTTTTTTATCACTCAGGAAGATCATTAAAGTGAGTTATAGCAGAAGAGCTTGTATTAAGGTTCTGAGTTCAGCCTTTCAGGACATAAGTAAACATTTCTTCCTGCAGAGTTTGGGACTTGAATGGAGATCTGCAGTTAGATTAACAGATCCTATTGAGAGCTCTCCAGATGTAGTTTGCAATAGGCTTTGAAAGGATTCTTCAAAGTTTTGAAGAATTTGAGTTCCTCTAAGCCACCCTGCAGGTGGACAGTGGTATCCTCAGTGTCAATCTTCTTGAGCTTTTGAAATACTAGAATTCTTTCAATTCTTGCTACCTTGTAAGCCTCTGGGTAATTTACAGTATTCATTGATCAATGAAATTCTTCTAGAAAGAACTTAGGAAAACCATTCTTTCCTAAAATAAAACCTTGTTCATCACCCACAGGAAAGTAATTATCAGCAGCCTTGTTCCCAACATTTTTTGGAGCTCTTTGACATATAATAATTATATTGAACATTATTTTTTTAAAAGTAATTGATACATCTTGTCTGGACTCATTGCTTTGTATTTAATTCTTTCTTAATAGAACATAGATATTTTTTAAAAAGTAAGAGGAAAAGTACTTTACCAGCCCACATCAATGTGTGGCTGTGAGGACAGTACTCCTCGGAGTAGATTTTTTTTCCAGAGGGCTACATTTGATCAAATGTCAGGGCAGCTGACAGACTGTTATTCAACCTGCTTTTTTCATTTCCAACTCTTAACCAAAAATACAGTCAACTTGCAGTCTCAGATTTTGAGGTAGTTAACCTGCCTGAGCCCCACCCTTCATAGGAATGGGGTGAAAGAAAACAGAAATCTCAGATTGCACTTCTTATGTCAAACATGAAATAGAAATAAAAAATGAGAGCTTGTTGCTTCTGTGTACATGCTGTAGCTGGGTATTCTCACGTGCAGTTGTTAAACTGGTCTTAGCTCAGGAAACGTCTTGTTTGTTGTTGTTCACAGCTATCAGACTGTGTTTTGGATCCTGAATCTAAAAAAACCAACTCATTTTCTCGTTTGCAAAGAGGAGAACGAACACATCTTTTACAGACTGAGGAATGAAAAACACCTCTTGCTGCTTTATCAACTGCTATTTCCATGGCTGATAAACATCCACATGAGACTTCTCCTCTACCAAAAATGTCTGTGTCTGTCACCTGATAGTGAGCAAAAGGGTCCAACGCCCTCTGGCAGTCCTTTGAACCAACTGATGGCTTATTCTTTTGTAACTAAAAAAACGTATTTTTTTCTTTTTAAACTTCTTTCTGTGAAGTAAAACTGCCAGGAAATCAAGGTTTGTATTTTATGAAGCAAGATGAGTTAGATTTTTCATTGTTTCATAAACAAAATTTTCTAATTAGATATCAAGGTAGATTAATACCTAAATGATCAGTATTTTGAACAGGCTGTTCTATTGCATATCTCCTTTTGTAGCACTCTACAATAACCTAGATGCTGTTGTCACAGGGAAGCGTAAAAACCGCCACAATAAGCTGAAAAGAAGCATGAAATTAAACGTGGAGTAGGGGAAGTGATGCATTTGGTTCAAGGCATCCAGTTTCTAGAGAGTTGCAAACTGTGGGAGAAACCTCTATTTTCATTGTAAGGAAATGGATTAATTTAATTTATTAAAACTAACACTTGTGAAACATAGAAACTGCAGGGCTGCCTATATGCATCTAGCATTTATTGTTCATAAATACACACGTGGGGAATATGGCCTTTTATTGATAGACAAAGGGATGTGTTTTAAGGGTTGAAGACTGCTCAGCTGAAATATTCAAAGCATTTTCCTCGGATGCTGAGAAATCTTTGCAGAGACTGAGGAGTTCTCCAGCTTCTGTTGTCTGTAAATTGGATCCACATTCCCTGTATTATTGTTGAAATATTTGCCTTTTCCCCCATATCTAACTGCTCTTGCAAATGGACTTTAATGCTGAAGGAGTTTCTTGGGGGGGAAAAAAAAATTAGAAGAAAATATGACTCGCTGTGACTGTCTGCCCATTTCCAGCATTCCTGGCATACTTTTTGCTGCCTTTTCCCCTCTGATGGCAGAGAGATACTTTTGTTAATGACACAACACATGTTTGTCTAAATCCAATTGTTTTGATTCTTTTTTGAAAATGTCCTGGCTTACAAGTACGAAGATCCCAAAGAGACTCCTGTCAACCTGAAGAACTCACTGGCGCAGAGGTGTCTGACTCACTGCATCGGCCTTGTACTTTGTGTTCCTGGGATAAAGCAGTGTATAATTTGGATTTTGCTCCTGCCAGTATCTGTTTGTTTTGAGCAGGCCACGTGAGTTTAGTAAAAAATAGAGCTGGTCAGTTTTGTGCCTTAAAGGACAGGGCTGGTTGTGTGGCTGTCAGTGTAACTAAAATAGATGCATTTTTAGGACTATTAGGCAGTTAAACTGGTCAGAGCACTCAGAGGATTTGTGTGAGGAGGCTGGACAGAAAAGGGTGTTGTCATGAAGGAAGAGCTAACCACTGCTGGTAGAAAACAAAGCTAGCTATAGCTGTAAATCCACACTTTAGAATCTGTGGGTGACTAGACAAATTTTCCATTCACTTCTCTTGGCATGTTTCAACCTATTTCCCACCTGAACAAAGCCTGCTAGAGCTTTCTATTCCAAGAACAAAAGAAAGACCATACATTTACATTAAAAATTAGTGTGATCTTCATCTCTTGCACTAGTCATCCGTAGTTCTTTCAGTTTTGCTCTTTATTTTGTTTTCCATTTGCCAGATCATAGAGCAGTGGAAAGGTCTGCCACCATGCAAACAGGACCCTTGGGGAGCAAAATATTTAGAAGAGCTGAGGATTTGTTTGAGTGGCTGGAAGAAATAGAAGTGAGGAAAATCACATTTCTCTTTCTGAGCAGGCCCAAAGAAACATGATAGTCAGTTGCTGTAATTCATTGTGGTCTAGCAAGTTGTTGCAAGTTTCTGAGTAGTCTGTTCATATGTAATTCTTTGTAAAACAGTTTTACTGGCAAGTGATAATCCTGTAGAACTAATTAATTTCTTAGTTGGATTTCCTTTTTCCCCTCTCTTTTTCTTCAGCCAGTAATCTTTGCTGTTTATCTTAACACAATGGGTTAACCTGTCTGGCAACATGCACTGCACTCCACTGAAAGTGGAGTGTCAGATACTGCAACTAGCATTCCAAGAAGATGGATTAATACATTGAAAGCTTGTCCCTCTGGTAAGGAAAACCTACCTAAAATTTTATAAAGCATATTGAAATCAACAGAAACAACATAAAAAAACCAAAACTCTAGAGGTATTATTATTTGAAAAGAGCCCAGATTGGAAAGGACTGTCGTGAAAGATCCATGTTCACAGATGCTAACATCTGTCAGAATGTTTTTTGTGGCTGACTTAAATCTGTTTACAGCATTCCATTTGTTTTTTGTGTTTTTTTTCAACAAAACATTTTAAATGGAATGGTCATAAATGCAAGTTTTAAAAAATTACATTATGTTTCTGGGATGTGATTTTTCAAGTGGAAAATAAACAGGAAATAAGTAACTGAAATGCAGTAGAGACTATTCCATAAACTAAAAGGTTTCTCTATTTTTCCCCTTTTCAAATACTTCTCTGAAGTTAAGATATGTGCTCTTAATATTCTTGCGAAGTAGTCTAATTGCTACTTGACAGACTTATAAGAGTTCTCCTAATAGCTGTGGTTCTAGCTCTAGTAACTTGTTTCTGCTTTGAAGTCTCTCCCTCTCTTTTTTTTTTTCTTTTTTTTTCCCCTTTTTTTATTCACAGTAAAGACTCCCTGACACTTGGATTATTCCCTTTTGCCTCCACCCTGCTCTATTTCTAATTCTCAAACTGGAGCCACCAAAACAGAGTGTAAGGACAAAAGACTGTTGGAAAAACAGCTTTAGTATCACACTGTCCAATTAATACTTTAAATTGTCTTGTGTAGTTAACACTGTAGCTTCCCCAGGCTGTTGTCTGGATAGCCCTGAAAGTCTGTTTCCCCTGCTGATGCTGCAGACAGCTAG